GCACTATCTGCTTCCACAGCACATGTAGGGCTGTACCACATGCTAGACATGCAGTCCAACTTTGCCCTTAGTGCAGCATTTACCGCCACGCAACAATGATGTAAATCGGGGAACACGCAGCCACGACCAGAGTTTTTGTTGTCACCCATTAAATGCATGTTCGCGCAACAATTGTACTTTGCTCCGGCCAATGTTTTCACAGCAAACCAAAATTACATTTCAAAATTCGTCACATCAAAACGAAAATGGGTACAATAGGGGAGGGTCGATCGTTTTGGGTAATAAGGGCATGTCATACATCGCCAAAAAAAATGGTCGACCGTTTTGAGGCCTCCTCGATTTCCCTCGAAGCGTGCGATTCCCTCCAAATCCTGTTTCACTGCTTGCGTTTATGCACCCAACGATGCCTGGGTTATGGGGAGGGGAGATGAGGTTGGCTTGAGCCTAACGAGGATGATGAGATGACGGGACGACTGGGGGGCTATCTTGCTGCTTCCAGAATGAGCCCTGTCCGGTTTCGGTATGAAGAGTACTGAGACACCATACGGTGAAGTCGAAGGTCGAATGAGTCTTTTTTCAAGGAGATACTCGACTTGTTTCTTCATATCGGCTAGCTATGTAGGCCTGAGCCGGTATGGTGCTTGGAAGGTCGGTTTCGAGCCTGGTTCCTCCATGATCTCGTGTTGATGTATGCGATATGATGGTAGCTCGTTGGGAAGATCGTTGGGAAGAATGTCTCAGAACTCGTTGATCAATTCCTTGATATCCTGTGGAGGTTCTCGAAGCTTTTTTTTCGACGTCTTCTGCATCTGTTGCTATTGCCAGGAACCCGCTCTCAGTTTGTTTTACATCCTTCTCAGATCTGGCGAGTGTCTTCATTGGGATATCGCCTGTGTTGTCCATGTTTGATAGTTGGAATCTCCTCCATGTTTGTAGATGCTTGCGGTGCAGTTGACCCAGTTGATCTCGGGGTTGATTTTTTTAAGGAAGTCTCTCTCCGAATATCAAGTCAAGCCCTTTTATATTTATGATGGGAAGGGCAGGCCTCCAGCGAAGTGGTCCAATGTGTAGAGGTAACACTGCTTCATCATAGACGGGTAACTTGTTGCCGTCCACCATCGTGCAGAAATTGCCGAAGGCTTGCACTCTTTGCGAAGTCGGTTGATTGCTGCCTTATTACATACGGTGTGTGACGCTCCACTGTCCACAAGTGATTGGATGCATCGCCCTTTGCAGATGACCTCGAGCACAAGGGGCAGGCGTTGCTCGAGCACCCAAAGATAGTTTCATTAATAGGATCATAGGGTGCATCCCAATATTCAGTACACAACTTTTTGTTGCAATCTACTCCTGTACTGGCAGTTGGCCGAGGCTGCTTGGAGAAGGGCTCTTTTCCTAGGCCAAGAGTTTCCTTGCCGACCGTACATGTCGTCGAAGCCATTGTGCCGAATGCATCTGAAGGAGGAGTTCGGAGCCTTTACAGTTTCTTGTAGACCCCCAGCTTCCTCTTGAGCCGCTTCAGCTCCACCGGCGTCTTCCCTTGGGAGCGGGTAGTCGCTGTGAGCTGGTTTCGGAAGATGACGCTGACTCCGTGGAAAGGCCGATTCCTTTCCACACTCCTTCATTTCTTTCCCACGTTTTCCAGTATCGGTACAATATCCATAATAGCCTTGGAAATGTTTCACAATGTCTTCTGATTCATTTCGAAGGCTCTGGCCCCTCGAGAATCATAAGTTTTCATTAAAGCGTCTATATAAGATAACTATAACAAATCCTTATAATTTCTTGGGTCTTTGAGGAGTTTCCCTTTCTCGGCAGAGTCTTTTTTCGCAGAGTCAGATTTTTCCTCGGCAATTTTCCCTGGCGAAGACTGGTCGTGGGGCAGAGATTTTTCCCCATCATTTCCTCCTGCTCGCGTCGAATCAGCTTAGTTGAAGTTGATTTTCTCGGGATCCCTCGGCCGATTTTGGATCTTTTCTTTTTCGCCAGTTAGATCCGCAATCATTGGCGATTCCGATTTTTCTTGCCATATTTTCCTGATTGGCCAAAAATTTCCCACCACTGTTGCATGCTCGATACTCTGCACGTGTGGCTTTCGTTTTGTTGCAATCAAAGATTCGATGGCTCGGCACTCGACAAAGATCGCATGTGAAGCTGGCGTTTTTCAGACGTGGCCGCCCGTCAAACCTGTCGATTTCTGTCGGGTCGGCACACGTGGGGTGTGCCGAGCGGTCGCCCTGTCGCATACCGTGGACATGCGACTGCCGTGTTCCAGCGTTGGCCATGTGAAACTGCTCGGCGGCCGATACGACGTCATTGTAGCTCGTGTAATTCGTTGCTGCCACCTGCCGCTTGATTTCGGTCTTTAGCCCGGCGAGGTACGACTGTATTTTTTCTCCTTTGGACAAGTCAGGAAACTAGTAATAAAATTCCTCCATCTGCTGCGTGTAATGTGCTACACTCCCTATGTGTAGATGGCAAATATTTTTTCCCAAGTAGGGAAACCCGAATTTATCGGCTCGAAACGTTTCAGCAGGTTGGTGCAGAACTGCTGTCACGTAGCTTTGCCGTAGCACTGTTCCCGCTGATCCACTCAAGTGTCAGCCCTCGCATCAGTGTCGCGGCGAGTCGCACTCGCTGACCATCCCAAATTGGCAAACTCCATCCGATAGTTGCGAAGTACATTTCCATTATGGCGATCCATTTACGGGCGTCGAAATTTTGATTGCTCGGATCGAACAGTTCAGGTGGGTGTGGATTCGGAGCCTCGATAAACTGCTGTGACTGCTGCTCATTGTCGTTTTGTGCTGCGCGCCGCGAGGTGAGTTACATGCCCATACTCGTTTCGCCAAGCTTCGCAATCGGCTTGCATCTCCTCCTCTAGGGCAGCAATGCGGGCGAAGAGCTGCTGGGTAACCTCGGCGTTGTCGAAGTTTGCCATCCTGTTCAAAACACGCACGAAGGGGTTAATTCAAAAAACGAGGAGCTGGTGCTTGCCAGAATCGGCGCCGAACTATTCGCCCCGGCGGTTTTTCGAGGCAGGTTTTCCTGCTGCTGCTACTTAGCTAAGCACAGCTGAGTGAGAAAAGCTCTGATTACCAAGTGATTCAGGATCGAATCGGTCGAGAGAAGGTTGCACTATCGATCGATACAAGGCGATTTTATACTTCCAAGGTACATCAGGTAACCAAGTTTATCATATCCAAAGGGAATAGACCCTTCTAGTGGATAGAATCACCCTGAATAATACAAGACTATTGGCTTTAAGGGATTACGGCATAATTATGCTGGATATAGTGCGCAAGTACATCTTGAGCCTCGTCAGTGGTGTAATGATAATAATAGGGTAAACCAAAGGATAATGGAAAATAAGGAATAGGAAACTAAATGAGATGAGATAAAGACCAAATGAATCAAGATTAAAAGGAGAATGAGATACAGAAGAAATATGGAAATGAGAAAGAAGTGTAAAGTGGTCATACTCTCACACCCTTCTCTTGAGGATTGGGCTGGTTTCTTGAAAATCTATCGAGCCCAGATTATCTCTGAGGTTAGAGAGAGCTTGCAAGCTGAAAGCAAGCCAGTATAGCTGCAGCTGGAATGGTGGCAGGAGTGAACCCTGCTACACCATCAGATAGAAATCAGCGCGCTAGACCCGCTCTTTCTGATATTTTATTTCCCGGGAGAAATCAGCCAGTCGTGAGCCGATGGCTATTTCACGTAGAGCAGTACTTGGTGCTGAGTCACATAGCACCTGCTGAATGGACTGCATTCACTGGATCTCTTCTCCGTGGATTTGCAATTGCATGGTGGCAATCTGTGCGCGCGTCCATCACTTCTTGGGAACACGTCAAGCAAATTTTCATGTCGACATTTCAACTCGTGAACCCGAACATCAAGGCACGAGACTCCCTTGGCAGCCCTCAAGTGGTTGAAATCTGTCCAAGAGTACGCTTCTCACTTCCGTAACATCACTCAAGAAATTTCGGATCTCTCTCTCTTGCCAAACGAATGGATATTTTCAAGCGTGGATTGAAGCCGAACGTGAATTTGGAGGTGGAGCTGAGAGACTGCTCTACGCTCAAGGAAATGATGCATGTGGCTGAATGGTATGATGCTGTTCACTTTGCCTATAGTAAGCCTAATTTTTTTTCGCAGCCCGCTTAACCCGTTTACTCCCTCCTACCAATCCTTCACTTCAGCCAGCAAGAACCCGATCCTATGGACCTGGACCAGAAAACGGAACCTGAGGCCACCCGTCGTGTGCTTCAAGTGCAGCAAGAAATGATACATCTAGAAGTTCTGCCGAGGGCGCACCAATCAACTGCCTCTCCTTCCAACATCGGGAAACGGAAGTCGCCAGTGAGTTTGGGGCAACTTCCTGGTAAGAAAATCAGCCCCTCCATCTCTTTCTCTTGAAAGTCATAGCCCTTCTAAAACCCATTCTTCTTCCCACGACTATCCGAGTTTAAAGAATGAAAGCCTTAATTCATAGTGGTGCTTCTCCAAATTTCATCTCTTTCTCTCTACTTTTCAAGCTTCCCTTCCAACCCAACCTAAATCCATACCTCAGACAGTGCTAATGGCAAATGGAACTTCAATTCCATGTGGACCAATACCTTTCCCTGTTCCTTGTACCATTTGACCCTACAAAACCAAGATTCAATCTCAGCAAGCATCCCTTGGAGACCATGAAATAATTATTGGGCATGCTTGGCTATTTGTCGCTAATCCCAAGATTGATTGGACTCTTTACCATCTCCAACTCTGGAAAAGACATAACCCTACCTATAATTTCTTCCTCTCCTATCATACCTACTTGTTGCAACCTTCTTTCCGCAAGAAACTGAAAAAAATCCCGTAAAGACCCCGACTGTTCTTTCTTCCTCTATCTCCTGAAGAAACGTGTGAAAGTCCTTCTCCCTCTTCCCCTTCCAAGGCTGCTGAAATCCCTCATGCAATTCAACGTGTATTGGATGAATTCAAAGACATCTTCCCTCAGACCTTCTGTTGGGTCTTCCTTCCAAGGGAGCTATCGATCATCACATCTCTCTACTACCTGTTTCAGAACCTACCCTCCGTGCTACCTACTGGATGAGTGCTGCTGAGCTGCAGGAAGTCCAGAAGCAGTTGGAAGAGCTTCTTGAGAAAGGCTTCATCCGAGTAAGCTCCTCTCCTTATGCAGCACCGATTCTCTTTGTGAAGAAAACTAATGGTAGCATGCGGATATGCATAGACTATCGTGCACTCAACAAGATCACCTTCCAGAACCGCTACCCCCTGCCACGTGCGGAAGATTTTTTTTATCAACTTGGCGACGCCACAATTTTTAGGCAAGTTGGACCTCAAAAGTGGATATCATGAAGTTTGTGTCTCTGGACGAAGACATAGAAAAAACAACATTCAGAACTCATTTATGGGCATTTCGAAATTTCTCGTTCTTCCTTTGGACTAACAAATGTCCTGCCACTTTCATGTGCTTGATGCACAATGTCTTTCGTGATTTTTTTAGGACTGGTTTGTCATATCTTCATCGTGAATTATGATATATAGCAAAACATTGAAAGAGCACGCTGAGAATCGAAGACAAGTGTTCCCCTGATTCTGTGAGCATCGTATCTTCGTCGAACACAGAAATTGTGAGTTTGCAAAATCCTCGATTCCTTTCTTGGGCCATGTCATCGAACACAATCAGCTTCCCATGGATCCCTCTAAACTCAAAGCCGTTCGAGACTGGAAACCACCAACGTCCATGAAAGACGTACAAGCCTTCCTTGGCCTTGCCAACTACTATCACAAATTCACCCGACACTTTGCTGCTATCACATTCCCCCTATCCGATCTCCTCCGCAAGAATGAAGGACTCAATTGGGATAATGACCAGCAAATAGCTTTTGATGCTATCAAGTGTGCACTAACCTCTTCCTCTACCCTAGCCCTACTCAATCCCTCCCTTAGTTATGTGATCTGGACAGATGCCTCTCAGGTTGGAACGGGTGCAATCCTTTGCCAGGATCAAGGACATGGCCTCCAGCCTTATGCTGTAGAATCTCGGAAGCTCGAGACTGCTGAGTGCAACTATGCTATTCATGATCGTGAGGCACTGGCCATCGTCCATGCAATCAAGAAGTGGCATTGCTATGCCCATATGCAACCCGTCACTGTTCTTACTGACCACTGCACCCTGCAATACCTGAAGACACAACCCCAAAGCAGGCCCGATGGATGGAGTACCTAGAGCAGTACGTACCTGAGCCAAAAATCGAGTACCGTGCTGGCCACCTCAACC